GCCTAAACAAAGCCCCTGTTGCACCTTGGTGTGAAACCAATTTCTTTTATTACCACGTGGGAACCAGAATAGCAGAGGACCTCTACCCCTCCAACACCTATCACATTACCAGCTCCACTGAAAATCTGTTCTTGCTGTTTTAGCCTATAGCCACAGATAAGCAAGAATGAAAGAACCACCCAACAAAAGCAAGAGGCTAAAGGGCAATACCTGCCACATACTCACAAACTAACAATTGGTTTTAGGGCAGATCGGGGTACGTGGGACAAGGCAAAGAGCAGGGATTCCTAAGTACAAGCCTGACCAAGTGGGGAACAGTCAGGCACAAGGGAACACTAGAACTGCTGCTAATTTAGCACTCTCCCTGTCCAACCACTTGCATGGTTATTGAGCTGCACAGCTTCCTCTCTTGCTGCCCACCTCTTTACAAGAGTATGCAGTGATGCTCACCAAGCCATAGACATGAGCCCAGAGCACTAGCTCGGAGGTGTTAATAGGACAGTCACAGGCAACTGACCTCCACAAAACATTTGCAAGGTCCCTGCTGAACTGAAAAAATGGTGTGTGTCTCTAAAGTATGATCAATGACTGAAAGAATGAGTGCATGTGAAAATTTTGCCTATTAACAACAGAAGTACCTTAGGCCCAAATGGACATGGGTTTAATTACTGTACATACTGCATCTATGCATACATGAACACAACTAGCCATACTTATTTTATTAATTTTATAACACAGAATCACAGAATCATCTAGGTTGGAAAAGACCTTGAAGATCATCCAGTCCAACCATTAACCTCACACTGACCATTCTCAACTACACCAGATCCCTCAGCGCTATGTCAGTGCGACTCCTTAACACCTCCAGGGATGGGGACTCCACCACCTTCCCGGGCAGCCCATTGCAACGCCCAACAACCCCTTCTGGAAAGAAATGCTTCCTAACAGCCAGTCTAAGTCTTCTCTGGGCCATTCCCTCTTGTCTTATCACTTACTACTTGGTCCAAGAGACTCATCCCCAGCTCTCTGCACCCTCCTTTCAGGGAGCTGTAGAGGGCGGTGAGGTCTCCCCTCAGCCTCCTCTTCTCCAGACTAAACCCCCCCAGTTCCCTCAGCCGCTCCCCGTACGACCTGTGCTCCAGACCCTGCACCAGCTCCCTTGCCCTTCTCTGGACACGCTCGAGTCATTCAATGTCCTTTTTGTAGTGAGGGGCCCAAAACTGAACACAGGAATCGAGGGGCGGCCTCACCAGTGCCCAGTACAGGGGTCAGATCCCTTCCCTGTCCCTGCTGGCCACGCTATTGCTGACACAAGCCAGGATGCCATTGGCCTTCTTGGCCCCCTGGGCACACTGCTGGCTCCTGTTCAGCCGGCTGTCAATCAGCACCCCCAGGTCCCTCTCTGACTGGCAGCTCTCCAGCCACTCCTCCCCAAGCCTGTAGCGCTGCTGGGGGTTGTTGTGGCCCAAGGGCAGCCCCCAGCATTTGGCCTTATGGAAACTCCTCCAGTTGGGCTCAGCCCATGGCTCCAGCCTGTCCAGGTCTCTCTGCAGAGCCTCCCTACCCTCGAGCACATCAACACTCCCACCCAACTGGGTGTCATCTGCAAACTGCCTGAGGGTGCACTCGATCCCCTCGTCTAGATCATCCATAAAGATGTTAAACAGGAGTGGCCCCAAAACCCAGCCCTGGGGGACACCACTCGTGACCAGCCCCCAACTGGATTTAATTCCGTTCACCACAACTCTCTGGGCCCGGCCATCCAGACAGTTTTTTACCCAGAAAAGCGTGTGCCCATCCAAGCCACGAGCAGTCAGTTTTGCCAGGTGACTGCTGTGGGAAACGGTGTCAAAGGCCTTACTGAAGTCAAGGTAAACAACATTCACAGCCTTTCCCCCATCCAATGAGCAGGTCGCCCTGTCGTAGGAGATCAGGTTTGTCAGGCAGGACCTGCCTTTCATAACCCCATGCTGACTGGGCCTGAGCATCTGGTTGTCCCTCATGTGTTGTGTGATGGCACTCAGGATGAGCTGCTCCATCAGCTTCCCGGGTACCGAAGTCAAGCTGACAAGCCTGCAATTTCCCAGATCATCCTTCTGACCCTTCTTACATATAAGCATCACACTGGCCCATTTCCAATCAGTCAGGACCTCCCCAGTCAGCCAGGACTGCTGGTAAATGATGGAAAGCAGCTTGGCGAGCACCCCAGCCAGCTCCTTCAGCACCCTTGGGTGTATCCCATCCAGTCCCATAGGCTGGTGTGTGTCTGTGTGATGCAGCAGGTCACTGACTGTCTCCTCCTAGATTGCGGGGGGGTCGTTCTCCCAGTGTCTGTCTTCTGGCTGAGGAGGCTGGATTCCCTCAGTACAACTAGTCATGCTATTAAAGACTGAGACAAAGAAGGCATTAAGCACCTCAGCCTTCTCCTCATCACTTGTTACCATGTTTCCTCCTGCGTCTAGTACAGCAGTACACAGAAAATAAAGACAAGGCATTTTTGTACATATCTGGTATTCTCTAAATCATCTTTTGGTCTTTAAGTATGTCCTTGTAACAATCACCTAACAGAAATATACAGTCAGTGCTAACCATGAGATGCAATAGCTAAAATTTTTTCCCTTTAAATGCCATTTGTTAAATCCACATTATTATTTAACACACACACACACACACACACTTTTACAATTCTCTATCAAAAACCAAAACTGCAATGAAAGTAGAAATTATAAACTGACAGATACATCCACTTTACATTCAGAAACGTATTTCAAACTGAAGAGTGCGATCGCCTTATTTTCCATATATGATTTGGCAAGTCTGACCATCTGCATCCTGCAGCAAGTAGTAGAATCAGATAATCTGCATCAGTCTAGATTTAACTCATAACAATATATCATTTTTACCACCTTTGCAAAAACAATTCGTTTCCACCAAGAACATCTCACAATAATAACCTTTCCAATTTCCCACAGAAAAATGCTTTTCAGGGAAGCAGGAAGGAAAGGAATTAAGAAATACATTACAGTTAGAAATCTATTATTTCAACTGTCCTCACCAAACAAAAATCCCTTCAGTGTAGGCAAGTGGCTTTCACAAGTAGTAAAGGGACCTTTCTACATCTGCATACAAGCAAGAAGTCCCTCATTCTGACTGGGTCAATAAATGTGAGTTGCACACATAATATAACAAAGTATGGCTTTGCCTTAAGTTTCTTCTTTACATGACACAGAAATGACTTAGTATCTGGACTTTGTTTTGGAAGAATGTCTAGTTGTAACCAAATATCTAGTTTTTCCTATATTAAAAAAAAAAAAAAAAAGGAACTGAGTGAGATTAGATATATGAAAGTTTGGCTTTCTGTTCACACTGGAGAACTGTAGTGAGATATTACCATGAATTTCTCAATTTAGGAAATGGGGGAGATGACATTAACTCTTTCATATAGGCAATTCATCCTCTCAGCTGTTTGATGGGTCTTTGAGTTCAACAAATGTATCAAAAGCAAATAAAATAAATAAGGCCTTAGACAGCACAACCACACATCCTCTGCCTCTCAGTTACAACCTGACAAATCTGTAGCTCAGATTACAGTCTGAGTTTTATATCATCATTGCAGTATTTCTCTAGAGAAGTCTTCCCAACAAGAAGGGGTTTGAGGCCAGCTATTTCTAATGCAATAGGCAAGCAGAATTAAAATAAAGATATGAACCTTTGAGCTGTCACCATGCATCCTGAACCAAAACCAGGAGGTGGGTAAACATTTCTTTTTGTTTTGCAATAAATTTTAAATATGTGATGGGCTCTGACCTGGTAAAGCTCCTACTCCTCCTATTGGTAGATCCCCAAACTCCACTAGCTGAAGAAATTATAAATTTCACTGTATTTCTACATGCATTACAGTGTGAGTCACAGTTAAACCATGCTCAGAAGGAAGTACGCCTTGTAGGTGGTGTGGAAACAGCTAATTTGGTAAAAAGCTGTTACTCTAAAACTATCAACCAACAATTCTATTAGTGTACTATTATATTAGAATTCCTGACATGTTTTGGTGGCATGTAACTTCTGTGAAGGCATCACCTACGTTGTGAACTGATGATTAACTTTAATTCTTTTTAAAACCCTTAAAACAACATCCAGAAAATTTATTCTTGAGCCTTTCCATGACACCAGTGTGCAGATCTTTACAGGGGCTGTGCAACTAAGAATACACAGCTGACCTAGGAGGCAACAGGACATTACTGTAACCATTACTCAAACTGGTTATTAATTCATTTCAAAGCATTTCCCAAGCCTGGCAGCTGCTGCTCAAGAGATTAGCATGGAATACATGGGAGACAGTGATGCCAAGTCACTCAAGCCAACATGACTTTAGCCTCTTGCTGAAAGACTCTACAGATTCACAATAATAAATACTTGAGGTTGCTAAAGACTGCTTGAAAGGCCCAGAATAAACCATCTCATTTCACGCATGGTTCAAGCACCACTAAAAGTATTTAGTTGTGCTTACTTCTTCCAGTGGAAACCAACAGCACTCAGCACCCAAAATGCTTTGTTCCCTGAGCCAAAATGCCAAATATGCTGTTTAAATCTGGCTCAATCTCTGCCCCAAGAAGAAGGGGCCAACCACTCTGCCTTTTTGTTCCAATGCTAACTACACTGTGGAAACAAAGTCATGAAGTGGTTTGGGATCCAAAACCATCAAGGCTTACATTATGAAAAAAAAAAAAAAGGAAACAAACCCTCCAAGGAAGAGTGATTTACGACCCAAAACATCCCAGAGTGGCCCTAGGCACTCATCAGTAGAAGCACAGGGAAGAGCTCTAGTTCAGAAAAGCAGTAATTTAACAACATTTCTAAAGCATAACACAACATCGTTTCAGTCCTTTCTTAAAATGATCAAGCTCCAACACCACATGAAAAATCCAAGAAGCGCCTGCAGTGACGTTCCATACTTTCCAGGAGAAAGAGGAGGAGAGAGGAGGGAACCGTACAAAGAGATACTAAGCCTTTGTATCAGCCTCTTGTTGGTTGCCCACATATCGCGAACTCACACTTACCTGTCCAAGGGAAGGAAGTGTTGCATATGCCATGGGCTGATTCATCATTCCTTTCTGCTTCATGATGAGCATGCGCTTCTGTTCCTCGCTCAGGTGCGCCATCTGAGCTTGCATCTGCGGCTGCTGGGACTGCTGCTGCTGGATGTACGGCATCATGGGGTTCTTGCTGGGATTTGCCATTGGTGGGGTCATCCTCTGACTCAGCTCAGCACTGAAGTGGGTCAGAGGTTTGGTGTTCCCGTAAGAAAGCATATTGGGCTGTTTGCTTAAGGAGTTTGTGCCCAGGTTATTTGGCTGCTGACTGATCATATTCATGTGATTTTGAGGGAGGTAGTTATTAATTGTGGTCTTCTGTGGATTGTTTGCCATAGGAGGCACTATTGGGTTTTGGTTGTTAAAGGCTTGGGGATACATCATTGGGCTATTTGGTTTGTCTGCACTGAAGGGTCCTCCATACGGACTAGATGGAGGGCCCACAGGTGACCAGCTTGAGGGTTGATTTGGATGCTGCTGCTGCTGCTGCTTCTGCTGCATGAGCTTAGCCCTTTGCTGCTGCTGGGCTGCCATTTGCTTGAGCTGTTCAGCTGGAGACAAGTCGGTGCTCGGCATATTTACAGGCCCAGGCCCTGATCCTGCCACAGTTGCCGCTGCTGCTGGATTCATAAGATAGCCGTTCCCAGACCGTGTCTGCGTCTGGCCTGGGGTGTGGGCCTGGCTGGGAGTTTGAGGTGACTGAACAACACAGTTTGCTGGTGAGCCGGCAGGGATGGGGGCTGGCGGGGCGCTGGACACAGAAGCTATGCTAGAGGCTGTGGAGACGTTTGAAAATGGAGGACCAGAAGAAGAAGGCCTCACCTGGGGAGACCCTAACGGCACGTGAGCAAATGGAGAATGAGATGGATCGCTTTTCACGCTTGCACTCTCTTGAGTCTCTGTGGCAGGCCTGGGAAATTCTGGCTCCTTCTTCTCTTCAAAGTCTTCGTTGAACAAATCTTGTATATCATCTTCTGGAACAGTGTTTGCTAGTTCATCTATTAGCTCTTGCCACTCTTGATCATTCAGGTTAATGTCTGAGAAGAGCTTGTTCTGATTTGAAAGAGATGTTTCAGAAGTGTCTATGCAGCCGGGGTCATCCAAAGGCTCTTGCTTTAGCTCCTTGTTCTGCAGGATGTTAAAGCTATCGTCTAGCTCATTGCAACCGTTAACGGGGAGCTTTATCTCAGAAAGCCCACCGTTTTTACCTAAGTCTTCTAGACCACTACCATGAGTTCCACTGTTCTGCAGGGGCAGGGGAGCTTTCATGTCAAGCTGGTGAAGAGGAGAAACAGAGGGCAAAGGCAAATTATTGGGCAAGCTGTTGATTGCCTCGATGCCTGGTACATCCTTCCGTATCCGCTTGCTGGTTGGAGAAAAGCTCCCATCACAAATTCCATTCTGCTGTTCTCCATTGAGAGGTGAACGTGCGCCTTCCAATTTCCTTTTGACTGTCTCTTGAAGCTTGAAGAAAAACAAGAGAGAAAAAACAATTAACCAGTTGCAGATACAAGTTGCTGATGAGCCTTGTGACAGATAATCCTTATGAAGCCTAGTAGTGACAATCAGTTTTAAAAACTCTGATTAGGAAATTACTTTGATTTCATTCTCATGCCTTGATCAATTTGAAAAGATGGTGTAAAAACCAAAACCAAAATCAAACCCAAACCAAACCTGCCCCTGAACAGGAGAGCAAAACTGTAAAGTGTGTCTGTGCTCTCCAAGATACCAGAATTTTATGGAGCAAATTGAGTAATTCAACTTTTTGGCGTCTAACACAACGATGAGATTTAAACAGTATCTAACACAGCAAAGAGTCTTAAATTGGACCAAAAAAATGGAATCACTAAAATTTACTATTTACTCTGAAAATCTTTTTGTTAGAAGTTTCTAGAAGCCTCTTGAAAAATACCTGCAATACAATTGATTGACTACTTGAAATTAAACATGTGTTGTTGACACTAAATTTTTTTGAGAAAATTCATTAACATAGTTTCATTTGATTAGCCCTCTGTTCTTGGCTACAAAGCATATTGAGAATCAGTTTTAGTGAGGAAAAAAATATATTCACCCTAAAAAACAGAAGACACTTTGCATTATGTTAATCAAATAACGAAAAAAAGGAAATAATCTGTATGCTAAGAGCTAACTTAAAAGATAAATAACTGACAGGAATGATAGCAAGACAAGTCTCCAGGAAAGCAATTAAATTAGAATATAAGAATGTTATTTAAAAAATAGTGTATTAATATAAGCTTTAATTCAGGTTAAAAGCAGCATAGCAAAGCACTGTAACAACCTACAGTCTCCTCCTGTCACACCAAACATTAAGTCCTCCGCTTATGTACCCGGCTAAAAAAAGCATCCCTCTTTGGCTAAGGCAAAAAACAATAGTGGGGAGGGGAGGAAGCAAAGAGGTCACAGCTCTAGCAAACGCCTTCAGGACATACTTGCATCCTTGATACTAGAACAATAGAAGACAAAATACTGAAAGATTTTATCAATTTTTAAAGTATTTTTACTGGTATGAAAGTCCCAGACATTCAGCTCCCGCCCCTTCCCTAACCTAGAGGTCCTCAACCTTCTTTCTTCCCACAATCCAGATCCCATTTATTTCTCCCATCCCAGAGGGTTAGTTCCCCTTTCATCCCATGTGTAAGGCAGGCAAGCAAGTCCCTATCTCATCCCCATTTTAGAGGGAGTGGTTCTGAGAAGGCTGTGCCCTTCTCTCGCCCTTCAGGCCTGCGTGGCCTCTTCAGCATGCAACGCAGAAATACGTGGCTGATGCAGGCATTGCTGCAGTCCCAGCTGAACACACGCAGGACACCAAGCTATGTGCTGGTCCTCTGCAGAAGTGTGACCTTTATTACAAGGCAGAAAGGCAAGTCAATGAGTCCTTAAGCAGACCATCAACTCTTTGATTTGTACTGGAGTAGAAGGGGTTTTTATGTGGGAAAATGATTAACATGTGGCTAAGAGTCACCAGTAGGTCGCTGTTGGTGTATGTGTCCGAGACAAAGACAGCACATGCCAAGCCTCCCACACGCTGAAATTCCTTCTTGGCTTCTGTGGTGCCACACAGAGACTGGGTGCTCTGTGACCACAGCCTCTGCCACACAGACCGCTGCTCGGCCAGGCTCTTCCTCCGGTGCAAGATGCCTGTGCAGCTCCACAGGAGCTGTCCTTATCCTGAGTCTTTCCCTACCCCTGGTTTCTGGGGGTCAGGGAACAGCAGGGCCAGTGGTTTACACTGAGAAACTCCTCTCTCTGTGCCGCAGGCTGCAACGGGGAACCCACCGGCAGTAAGGTGGGGGTCAGGATGGCTGAGAGTGGTTTTTGGGCCTCCCCACTGGATGTGTGGAGTTCTCATCAACAGGCTCCCACTCCCCCCTAGTCCGACCACAGCAGCTCCTGCCCCCATGAGCTCCACAGATGCCTGGGGACAGGGTCCTGCACGTGGTGACAGATGCAGGCGGGAGCACACACTGCGCTGGCGCTCTCTCAATTAAAGCCCAGAACAGTCGAGTTAATCAGCCATGGTCTGCGGGAGCACACGAGGCTGCAGAGCACAGAGCCCCACAGCAGAGGTATCACCTTTTCATCTCTCTGTGCCACAGCAGCAGCAAGCTCTAGCAAGAGGCGCTTGCCCAGGGGTGGTAATTGCCTCATCTGTGCCAGTTAACAGCGATGTGGAAGGTAAGTCAACACCCGGGACTAGTGTGAAGGATAAAAATCAGATCCCACAAGGAGGCTTACGATATGGCTCTCACCTCTGCTGCTTCACTACCCTAAAACCTATGTTAAGCTGAATACCACCGTATGGCATTACAGCTCCCTGCTGCTTTTTGACCGGTGTAACTGGCATGTGGCAGAAGACTACTGAGCTTGATTCACTGATCTTTATATAACCCTGGTTCAGACCCCAGAGACGAAGACAGGACGATACGGATGCGGTAATGGCACCACTTCACAAGTACGGCAGCACGGTTGCTTCCAAGTTTCCTTTCTTCAGAGCAAGAAAAGGAAGAGCACCTGGCCTCAAGTACTCAAGTACAGGTGGTCAGTAACACAGTTGATATAAAGGCTTAAAATAGAATATTTAAAAGTTGTCCCTAATGGGCCACTTACACAATTTAGAGCTGAAACACCCATTTCAGCAACTAAGCCATCACACTACAAGGTCACTATCCTGCTTTGCCTTCCACATCAGAAAAACAGTCACTGAACAGCAAGTGACTCAAGACCAAGTTCTATGGCACACACATGCAAAAACAGGGTTCAAAGAAGTGTCCAAAACTTATGATGGCCCTTTGCCCTGAGTTCATATTGGCCAAATGCTAGGCTAAAGTAAGAACAGTCATACCAAAAGACCTGGTGACAGACTTCTGGTTGTGAAGTGAAGTTCATATAAGGAAGACATGGGAAAAAACTTCATTTGTTTTAATGACAAGTCAGGGGTTAGTGAAAGCAATTATCTCCTGTGAAATACAAGAGAACTCACTCCATACATTCCACAACAATTTGAAGGTATTTCTTAAAGAATATCGGTAGGAGTGACATGCTTTCACATTGGTTACTAATTTTTCCCGAATCCATCATCTTATTTGTACATGAATGTTTACCAAAAGAATCAAAACTATCTAGTGGCAAATAACCAGCCCTAAAAATATCTGCTCCTGAAGATTTCATCGTGTGCTGAAACTTGGATGTCCCCCTGTACAAATATACAGTGACTTTAGTGAAAGTAAAAGCAGGCCCAGTATATAAATATTAATAATTGTGTTTATCATGCATTACAAAAACCCCCAGCTTTAACATGGAAACTATTTGCCATCAAATATCAAACATACAGAAATTGTGCCTTGTTGCAAATGAAAACAAAATGAAGCCTATTCTAAGTTTGTAGCTCCATATTATTCTCCTTCAGGGGTTTTTGGATTTGGCAAGTTTACAGGCACTAGGAAAAAAACCTAATCTTTTTATTTTCTTTGTTTGCTTATTGAACTGTAGGTAGACAGAAACAAAACATGAAAGGTTTATTTAAAGGCAAAATTCTGGATACAACCGATGCAGACAGGGAAACACCTTGGCTCTGGGCACTTTGGAAGGGCTGGGAGCCATCGCAATAGATGCATCGCTTCTTTCTGGAGTACAACACAGAAGCATTCTTATCAAATTACTTCAGTGCTAACATTCATTTTCATATCTTGATTTCATTCCCAAACATTATGTCATCTGTCGGATGGCTTGAATATCGTACACTGACCATATACTGGCAGGTTACCACCGCCGGGACTCCACAGTGTCTTGGACTAAAATCCCAGCACTTCCCCTTCCCTCTGTAAAAACAATGTCTGAAGTAAAATATTCTCCTGTAAAGTGTCTTCCCTTTCCTTCTAAGAAGTAGTATATAGCTTGTGCATGTGATTTACAGTATGCATCATGAAGATATTAGCAGTAGCTTAGAGATTTATGTCTAGGAGCAGAAGACTCTTGATGCATAAAATAAAAATGAAAGGAAATAATAAAATAAACCCAAACCAATAAAATACTTGCCAGTTTCATAGACGTTTAGCTTTATTCACACAAAATATTTGGCTGATAGACCTGCATTTCACAGCAGATTTCTACCCCAAAACGGGAGAAAGAAGTACGACTCTCTATTCTTTATATATGCCTTTGGAGAAACTCTAGTTGCAGAGCAAGAAAAGGTCAAACTTTGGCGGGTTGACTATTTAAATGAATCTTGACTGGGGGAGAGGTGTGGGGGGACAGAGGCTATGCACACAAACACACAGACACACGTGGACCGGAATGGTCTAATCTAACCCGCCCTGAAATTTTGGGCTCGGACATGCCACAACAGACCCGACACATAAACAAGAGAGTGTTGAGGCTGTCGGCTGGGCTTTCATCTGCAGGCAGAAGCTGCTCCGCTTCATCCCACCAGCAGCAATTCATTTTTCAAAAGAAATGAGACCGAGGTGCTGTTGTTATAGCAACAGCCGAGCCACTCGCCTGCCCATCCTCCACCATCGAGCTGCCTTTGGTGGGCGGCTGCTCCAGTCATCCACGGGGAGTGACCAGGGCTGTGGTGGTGGCTTAGCCCTTTCATTGCTCTTTTAAAAAATATAGGAACAGAG